GTTTGCTCTCACGCCATGGCCTACACTATCTGGACTTATACAGAAATACACTTGTGTTTTTCTCATGGTCTACCTTTTGACAGCTTCAGACTAGTTCCAGTGACATGGTGACCTTCAACTGCACAGGTGACCCATGCACCATGCAGGGCTTATGCTCTAGGCGGTTCTGAAAGGTGGTGGAGAACTGGGCCATGGGGGCTAAGTGCCTGCTTTACAATTTTGTCTTGGCCACTTCTTGGCTCTACCATGTTGGGCAGCCCCCTTCTGGTGCCACAGTTTCATTTGCAAAATGTAGTTTATAACAGTGTCTGTGACATTGGGTTGCTATGGGGGAAAAGGGCAGTATGAGGGAAAAATAATACATACAAAACACATAGAAGAATGGCACAAAGTCAGTCCTTGACAAGGGTTAGATAGTATGTATCTTGTTAATATCAACCCTAAACCACTGCGGGGCCCATGATTGTTTTATTTAGCTGGTCCAAAATTCCCTGTGGGGGTCAGAAGAATTGACAACTACATTATCAAACAGTGGAAAATCATATTTATAGTATAGTAACAAGAGGATGGAAAGTCTTTTACTAAAGAGAGCTCTAATGCATTGGTCCTTTAGTGGTTCTCCAGAATGGATCAATTGCTATTTTTAGCTTAGGGCTCAATATTAAATAGATGAAATTCACAAAATACCAGTAATGAAAGTGACACATTCAGGGTCAAAAGGCATTAATACTATGAAATCAAAACCTTTTAGGCAAAGAAACTAAAATAATAGACAGCCTTTGAACTTAAAGGGGAAAAAAACCCCCTGAAGGGTAAAGTTGCTGGTATAATCCACAAGAAAATGAGATGCATTATTCAGCAGCTCATTCACTTTAGATGGTTCCTAAATTGCCTGAAATCCCTTTTATATTCTGCAAAGATCAAACATATTAAGAATGTCAAAATAACATTAGGTAACCCCTTTCAGACGTCAAAATAACCTCTCAGAATAAAAGAAAGATTTGCAAAGTTCAGAGCTATGAAGAACATAATTAAGTAGCAACTTTATGGGGGAAAATTATGGGGAGTCAAGCTGTTTAAAAAAAAAAAAAACATAAAACAGAAAACCCCACAAATGCCAGCCCAGTCACTTACCCAGGGGTTGATTTTGATTTTGGCAAAATACTAAAACTGAGGTCCTGGATTCCTTCACTTGTAGATCAGGGTAATATCCTCTATTTTATACATTCATAGGGGAACTTGGAGGAACTCTAACATATGCAGAGTTTCAGAAAAATAGTAATATTAGCTTACCTATCCTTGATCAATCTAGAAGTCAATGTGAAAAGCAATATTTCCTCCTTGTTTTCCCATGGCCTGTGCACGAGTCTCTACCACGCGTTGATTTAACTACTTTTTACAGGGAGAGTTATTTGCAGGGCTTATGTTCCACTTTAGTTTTCCCCAAAAGACTGGAATGATAGATCCAAGGACTTCACAAAAATGACACCCTGCATCATTGTTGCTCCAAGACGACATGGCTAACAGCGGTTTTATGTTCCACACTGCTGTGTACCCTAATGGGTATCACATCTGCCCTTATTTCAGAATCGAGCAACTTGAAGGATTCTAAAACTCCCACGTGTTTAGCCGAAACATTTAAATGCACCGTCCCACTTATGGACTGACCTGGAAAATGTCATGTGATTCAGTGATAGCGTCTAGGAAGTGTCAGATTCTGTGTACTTTATCTAATTTCGTGATGCGGGTTTTTAATGCAACTTTATTCTCATAAATCATTTCCTCACTTAGAAATCGTCAGTACATACCAAAGTACATTACACTGCAAACTCCTGCTACAGATGTGGGTGTCCTTTAGAGCAAAAGGTGCTACCAACAGAGTCAGGAGAAAGAACGGAACTGGGACAAGTAGAAGACTTGACGTTGCAGTAGTGCATGTATTCCACGGAAAAAGTTCAGTCCAGACAGTGACTCATGACTTGATTACATCATTCCTAGCGCAAATGCATGTGAAGCTACTCAGGCTTTTCTTCACAGAGCATCCAAAAAGAACTATATAATTAGAATCTGTAGATAAAAGGTCTTGCATAGTTTCAAAGACGGTGCGTAGCTACTTCTCTTGGTAATGCTAAAGGCAACTACTGGTCTGTCCAAAGAAAGTCCTATAATACAGTGCCCTATTCCTTTATTCATTAAATAATTAGATGCAGGCATAATTCAAACACAAGAATTTTTAGGTTAAACCACTTCAGTTAATACCACTCATTTTTCCCTAGAATAATGTTAAGCTAATGAGGGAAGGTATGAATATAAAAATAACAAATCGAAAGAGTGAGGAATTTTTCTTTCTGCATACCCAGTATTTTTGAACAGATACTTTAAATTTAGCTTAAGTATGACCTAAAAAGAATATCAGTTTTATCTTCTTCTATAACTCCTGTAACTGCTCAGGGATGGAAGAAAACTTTGGTCAGTTTTTCTTTTCTTTTTGCCTTTCAAAAGACAAGATACAATAACCTCCCATCCCCTAAATGGGATCATCGTTGTTTAAACTAGCAAGAGAAATCCTTTCCTTTTCCAATTTAATTAAGAGATGCTACTTAAAAAAAAAAAAAAAAAGTCCATGTTCTACCTTTCACTCGAATGAATGTTGCCATAGGCAGCCTTACCCTTGGACATTTTGGAACATCACCTTCCAAAGAGGATAGAGACTAACTCAGTGGTGCTCACTCTGCTTGGTCATTCAAGTCTTCAAATGCACAGTGGGAAAAAGAACTGCCCCAAAGGGTTTGCTTTGGGATCTTTGGGAAGAGCAACCATGTACCATGTTTTACAATAATTTAATGGCCAATGTGCAGAGCTTGCATTAGATAATTAGAATTTTGAAAGCCATGTTGGCTGATGACAGAAGTGGCAAGGCCACTTGCAACACTTTAATTATAAGTTTATTATGTTGCCCTCTGTTAGTTGCATTCCCTGTTTTACAAGTTTATATCTATTTAAAAACATATGTTCCAGTGAATGTTTCAAAGTGATCTGCTGGGGGGAAAAGAAAACAAAACGAAAAAAAAACCTTATTGGCTCAATGTATCTCAAACCTTAATGGCCCAATGTATCTCAAACCTCAATGGAAGAAGAAAAAAATGAAATAATGGAATAAATAAACTCAAAAGAAAGTCCCAACACTGATATAATCTTAACATTGAATCTGAATATTTAATAAACTAATAAGAGAAGTTCAACCCCTCTTAACTCTTTTAGGTTAGGATTTAACTTGGCCTTTTAGGCCAAAAGCTGCTTGGACAAGTGTTGAATGAGAATGGGTATTGCCACTTTTAACAATGTCAACAATGACGCTTAAAAAGATGGTTGTGCATGGGGTACCTTTGACTCTACTTTGAGAATGAGAGATGAATTTGAGCCTCGCAGGTTGTGACTAAGCACCTGGTTCAAGGTCCTTCTTCTGTCGGCTTGAATTAGTCAGCTTATTCAACCCACTTCATTGTAATTGAGTTACTTGCTCTGTGAGTGATTTGTGGTCGCTAGGAAGTTCTTACCTTGAGATCCAGACTGGCTCCCCGACATTGACAGGGGTCAACATTTCAAATGAAAAGCTAATTATTAGGTCATGGTAACTTGCTGTGAAAGGAAGAAGAGCTGAAGGGAGAAAGCTGTGTGTCTTCCAAGACTGTTTGTGATACCATATGGTCTGACACTGGCTGCACATTTAAAAGAAAGTAATTACTAAAATCTAGAAAATGATGAAAGTTTGGGTTTATTAATAAGTCTAAATGAATGCATGAAAAAATTAAGAATATATTAGCTTGGTATTAGGAAAGTCAATTCTGTGTTTACTTGGGTCAGATTTATTAAATATAGTTATCGCATAATTAATATATTTGAGATTGTGGCTTTTCTCTATTATTGGTTTTACATTCTGTAACTTTCTGAAAAAAAAAATGGATTTATAGTGCTTGCGTTATCTTCACAGCCAACACACACAGGAACGAAATCATGCTGAGTAAATTTGTAACATGACATCTTCTATTTTTTCACTCATTTAATTGCTCCTTCAAAAAGTCATTTTCCCTCTGTTATTCTGCCTAAGGTACATTACCATTTGTTAGTAAGAAGTTGTTGAAAAACAGTATTCCATATTACCATCATATGGCTTAAAAAAGGCAACAAAGAAACAAGACAGCCTCCTCATAGCAACAAAAATTAAACTTTTGAGATCAAAAGCCAAATAGTCCCAAAATCATAATATCTTTTTTATTAAGCTGCTCAATAAACCAAATTTCACCAAAGAGAATTCCCTCTCCTCTTGCCAATTAATGGACAACTTTTGTTCAAGTATGCACTCGTCATCACGATTCTAGGACAGATGAACTCATCTCTAGTTCCAGAACAAAATATGCAATCTGTCCAAATCACAGTAGTTGGGAAGTGAACTTGATCCACAGGTGGGCAAGTGACATAAGCTGGCAAGTTAGCCTTAAGAGAAGGACCTTTGTAAGATGTCAGGAGGAAAAGATGTCTTCTCTTGCTTCTATAAAATAACAAAGATCCCTGGCAAATTTCAATTGTGAGGGGAAACAGCGTTAAGGCTGATACTAAGAACATCCTATTCCAGAAGCATCTTTATTTTCCGCTATGATTCTCTTATAAATGGGGATTCCCTTAGGGAGGCAGAGAACTTGCTGTTGAAGGAGGCAGATCATCCCACTGCTTCAGTGTCCTGGTTTATGGTGTGACTGGGAGGGACGCGGAGTGTGAGGAGGATCTAAAGGGTTTGGCCATGTATTGGGTCATGGAGACCTTCAATATATGGCCTTGGCGTACCACAAGGCATAACATGAAAATGTGGAAACACTACTTATGACCTGATAATGATATTTGATTTAGAAAATGCTGCTGGATACTCACTGTAATCTTCTCCAAACTTTTTCAGAGTAGCTACCCATTTTGATGAATATTCACACAGGATTCAATGAACCACTGCTTCATTTCCGCTCTGAGAAATGCGTGCTTTTGCCATTAGGTACTGTCGTTTATTGACGTATGATATTTCCACAGACAAAAATCTTTCATTACATATATAGGGGAAACATATAATCATTATTGGATAGTATAGAAAATAAACTTTTTGGTACTGTTCTCGGCATTTCATAATGTAAAACTAGTGACAAACATCTTTAGAAAAAATAATAAAATAGTCCTTCGGTATTAAAATTTCTTCCTAAAAAGCATCTGGCCAAAGTTAGGAGGGTGACATGTTATTAGTGCATAGATGAGTTAGGCATGAATAAAATGAATCTAATTCCACCTCTGATGGTAAATCAAACCATTTGAAATCTACAGGCCACTGTTTCTCCCAGGTCGGGTGCAAGAAACAAAAAACTCAGCTTTTTCATGGTTCTGTGGTTTCTGATGTTGCAACTGTTTAAACACTGTGTACCCGGGATATAAACGACATAGTGCATACTTACCAGGTGGTTTTTATGCCACTTTGCTGAATGCAGGATTAATACATTTGGGCTTTTTATTGCTTGAGTAGAAAGTGCTCATTACTTATTATTTTATGTTTATAGTATAGAAATTAAAAAACAAAAACAAAAACAAACAAAAAAAAAACGAAAAGGTTTTGGAAATGGCATACATCACACTGTTGTAGTGGTTGATTTCCTCAAGATCGTCTTCTGTGGTTTTGGTGCAGTGGGAGGAGGCACAGTTGCAGGTCTGAGAGGGGGGAAGCTGTTACTGTGGCTTATTCCCAGCCCCCCATTTTCCAGCGGAAAAGGAGGGAGGTGGGGCGGAGAAGGGAGGGGAGGGCCTGGGTGAGGAAGCTTCCCCAGTGGGTGGACAGGTTCGCTGTGTAAATGGACCTCCCTGTTTTTTATGTTATACCGGGCATCACAGTCGGGACAATAGCCATGGTACTGCACTTTTTCATTAAACCGAACTCGTTCCCGAGGCCCTGCCTGGGGACATCTGTCTTTGTCAGGTCTGTGCGTCAGAGGCTGCACGGGAGCCTTGTCCAAGGTACTGGGGGGTAGGCAGCAGATGTCTCCGTTTGGAATTTTGTTCGGTGCCCTGGGGAAGCCTCCGTTTCGCAGGAGGGTGCCATTGGTCTTCAGGGTATTGGCCACAGGCACCCCTCTCGGCGGGTCTTCACACTTGACCGGGGTCAACCGCGGGGGAGGCGGAGGAGGGTTTGGCTTTCTCAGGACGGTGAGGATCGCAGACGGGTGCCCTGGGGGTTTGATGAGGGGTGCGTTGGCCTGCACTTTGATCTTCTCGATGCTGGAGGCGGTCGTGCCACTGGAGCTACTGTTTAGGGTGTCCGTTTTGGAGCTGTCGGTCATCTCATCCTCCAACTGGAGGTCGGAGGTCAGGGTATCAATCTGGTCAACCACCTGGTGGAAAGGACAAGGTAACTGTGTTAACAATGACCCAGAGCCAAACAGACCAGGAACAATGTCTCCCTGTTGAGCTGGAAATCTGCTCAGGGAACCTTGACTCACACTACATCCTTGACTCCATGGTTGGAAAGTGTTTCCATTCCATATTGACAGAATGGCCTTAAGAAGTGTGTGGACTGTTTGATAACCTAATGATGTCATGTACCTAGAACATAATATGCAATTTACATATACCTTCTCTTTCTGGCTCTGCTGAACCCACCAAAGATAAGACCCTGATACAGAAACAGAAATGATTTTTTTAAAAACAAGAGGTAGTGGCTTTCCCTAGGCTCAGCCTGTAGAAAGCTACAGGAGAACATTAATCTCACGTGAAAAATGAGAAAAGCCAAATACTCGGCAAAACCCTAACTTTTCTTTTTTTTTTTTTAAGATTTTATTTATTTATTTGACAGAGATCACAAGTAGGCAGAAAGGCAGGCAGAGAGAGAGAGGGGGGAAGCAGGCTCCCCGCTGAGCAGAGAGCCCGATGTGGGGCTCAATCCCACGACCCTGGGATCATGACCTGAGCGGAAGGCAGAGGTTTTAAACCACTGAGCCACCCAGACGCCCCAACTCTAACTTTTCTTGAGATGATCAGAGAACGGAGAATCACAAGGACACCCATCCAGCTGAGCTGCAAAAAGTCTCCAGGCCTCTGAGGATAGAAAGGGCATATGGACTGCTGCACCTTTGTCAAGTCATAGGGAACAGAGAGCCTCCACCAAAGTGAGGAAACAGCTAGAACTTTAATCAATAAATATGACAATTTAGAGTCCCCAGGAGCCTAGACACAATGCTGTCTGTCCTCATTCACGTCTCTGTTCCATGAGCCTCTGGTGTTGCCTGCTGAGGACAGCAGGGCAGAGAATGGAATGAATAAATCTGGTGGAGACTCCACCCCCCCCACCCTGTGCCATCCCTGGGCACATAGGCATAAAACCCCAGGGACTTCCCATATCTTCATCCTTTATAAAACACAACATGTAAGCATTAAGGGAATGGCAACAGTCTCCTGCTTCTGAGAACAGGGAGAAGCTGCAGCTGTCTGACTTTGGGGAAAGGGGCAGAAAATTCTCTTGGCCCCAAGAACTTGCCCAGCAGATGTCTGCCATCACTTGGGGGAGGGATCCAAGTCACAGCATCTCAAGAGCTGTTGCAGACACCAGGCAGAGGCGGGGCATCCAGTTTGGCTGGCAGAACCATCAGATGGTGGTGGAGGTCTGAGCCTAGTGAAGGAGAATAGATGAGAAGGAGGGAGATAGAACTGAAGAGTCATGATGCTAAAGCCGCTCATGGAAGGACTTGGGCATCGCCCCTAACAGGCTTGCCTGAGGGTCTCTGTCCTGTTCGACATGGTCAGGAGGCAGCTTGCTGGAAGGAAGCACAGCCTCGGCTCAAATGCTGGATATCAGAACAGGCTCATTCACCCTCCCTCAGGCAGAGATCTTGGAGACCATGCTCAAGGTCGCCATAAAGGCACGATTACCCATATACAAAGATGGGAAGGTTACAGATCATTTTAAAATAGTTTATTTATGTATAGTCCTTCATTTCACGTTTCCATATGCAGATTTGTCTCTCCGTCTTCAGGTCTCAGTGTGTTCCACCGTGAAGCTGGCTCTTTGACACAGGGTGGCAGAATTGGGCTCAAAATGAAAACATCTTTGGCATCCAGAATGGTAGGGAGGATGGAGAGATTTTACTTCTTCCTCATGAGGGTCTTAAGGGATTGCTTCTTGCTACTGTCACACGGAGCTCAGCCTTCTAATTTTAACTCCTATATATATACCAAACCCACTTCTCTGCATTTCTTTGGTCCTCTTTGAGCCACCATTATTTACCACAGGGTCCCCCGAAGTCACCTTGTTCCTTCTTTCAATTCTGTTGTGTCAGTGATTTTTCTAAAACAGAAATGTGCTCTTGGTGTTAACTCCCTGCTCAAAACCTTTCAATGCCTGTTCATTTCTCCTGTGATAAAGATCAATTCTTAACACCGTCTCCAAGGTCGTGTATAGTTTCCCTCAGTGTTGTGCTGGTAAATGTTTAAAACTGGTTCTTAGAAGTGTAAGGGAATTTTGATTTGAAAAGTTTGACAATTTCTTTGGTGTAAATTCCCACGGTGATCAATTTCAAGTTAGCGAATATGACATCACTGCATTTGAGATTGGGAAGAAATGTTCACTAACATAGCAGCAGAGATGCTTCTACAGGCCAGTAGAATCAGCAAAAATAAACTCAGGGGCACAGATAATGGTAGAATGTAGTAAAATGATTAAGAATGACTGAGAACAATTAGAAAGCCTTGTATTTAATGTAGTTTACTTAATATGAGTATATATATAATATATACAAATTTAAATTTTTTAATTCAATTAACATACAGCATATCATTGGTTTCAGAAGTAGAGTTCAGTGATTCTATATTTTGGTTTTTATTTAGCAGCAGGCTCACACAAAATTTCTGAAAATAGAACAATTGGCCCTTTTTAGCCAGACCCAGTCAGCACATTACTGTCTCTCCTCAAATAACTCTCCATCCTCAGCTCTAATAAATTTCCCTTTTCTTTTCTGTTCTCAAACCTCCTGGGTCTTCTTATAGACCCTCATAATTGTCAGTCTGCTTCCTGCCATAGGACATTTGCACATACCAATTTTTCTTCTTGAAATGCTTTGATACCTCCTCTTTGTTGACTTAAAGCCTTAGCTCAGGAGTCCCTCATGACCTCAGCCTTCCCTGTTCTCCTGCAATTTCCCATGTGGGTCAGGTGAAATTGTTAAATATTCACAGGGAACTTTATTTCTTTCACTGAAAGCATTTGCATACTTTGTGATTGTTTAGAGAGTAGGAGGAGTCCTGGAATAGTCTTTCCTCTCTAGACTCTCATTTCGGTGAGATCAGAGACCATGTTTGTTTGTACTACCGAGACATAAAGTCCTAAAGTGGTGAATGACAATTAAAAGGGGCTCAATAAATACTTGTTAAATAAATGCACTGAAGGCTACTTTTTTAGTTTAAGAGTGAACAACAACAAAAAAACACAAACAAACAAAAAAGAATGAATGAAAACGTGTTCTTTCTCATTTGAGTTTTGAAGTTGTTACTTTGCAAAGTCACATCTGATCAGTTATTCTAAAATAAAATAGGGGGAAAGAGATTTAACCAGAAATGATCTAGTCTGATGGCACAGTCTATAGTTCTAGCCCAGACATCCCAGAAATTAAAGTGGGAGGACACAGGAAGAATGTGAGAGATGGGGGATGGTCCAGGCTCACAGGTACTGTGCACTATCTCACCTGGAGAGACTCTTTACCCTGAGCCTTATATCACATTACATATCTACAGGGAAGATGAGAAAGCTGGTCCACTCTCAAGGGAGGGAGGCTGCTGCTCAGAGACGAATCGTATTGCCTGGACCTCTCATGCAGTTCTATAGCTGCTGGTGGGTTTTAGTCTCCTTGTTGTTATTTCCCAAGTGCCTATTAAATGAAAAACTAAAACAGACAAAATACAGTTGATCCTTGCATGACACAAGGCTTAGGGGTGCTGCTTCTACTGTGCAAAGCTATGTCTCTGTTGAACCCCCAAAACTTAACCACTAACAGTGGACTGTTGACTTGGAAGCCTCATTGATAACAGAAAGAGTTGACGAACATCAGTTGTGTATGTTGTATGCATTATCTACTGTACTCTTACCACAAAGTAAACTAAAGAAAAGAAAATGTTATTAAGGAAATCATAAGGAAGAGAAAGTACCTTATAGTATTGTATTTTTAGAAAGATATCTGCATATAAGTGGACCTCCAGAGTTCAAACTTGTGGACTTTATAAAGGTCAACTGCAACGTCCTTGTGGAGCAGGGAATTCAGTGGAAGGACCCAGCATGAATTAGATACTCAAACCAATAACTAAAAGTATGCATTTTCTAGGAGCTCTGAATGACAGACCGAGATACTGTAAGAGGAGAATAAAAACAGCCCATCAAAAAGTCAGCAAAAATCATACTAAAGAATTATACACAAAACTACAACTTTTGGAAAGCTGTAATTTGGTAGAATGTTGCTAAGAAAACACCATGGAAAACCAAAAATCATTAAAAGTATAAAAATTTTACCAAACCACCATCCAATTAATGAAAGAGGATATAGTTACTTTTATTCCTGAAAATAATCAATTTAATCAGAGCCTTTCAGTATGCCCATTTGTTTCTTTGGATGGGGACTGCACTTTTGATATTTCTTGGATACTAGTCAGGCACATAAAAATTATGAAATTTATAAAATCATTTGGGATAACCACAAAAAAAAATTATTCGTAACAGACAAATAAAGACTTTATAGAAAGAAAAAAAAGTCAGCAAAACCTCTCTGAAGGATGAGTGGCTCTTAAATGGTAGAAGAGGAGCGATTCCAAAGCCTGCTCAGGGAAGGGACTGATAAAGTTCTTCTGACAGAAGAGAGGGCCTGAGCACGAGCCATGGGAAGGTGACTCTGGGCTGAAGGGCACCGTGAGAGGTCAGGCTGTGAGAGGGTCCCGCGAAGTGCTGATCAAGTATCACAGAGTCCTAGAGAGTTCCAGAAGGGAGAGAAGCCCTGTTCGAAGAGATGATAAATTGCTATTTTTCAGAATGGAAGCATCATCTAATGAGACAAGCACACAGAGCTCCAAACAGGAAAATATAAATAAACACACACCCAGAATGCCATCATAAGAATACAGCACATGAAAAAGTGTAGATGCCCAAAACGTACCGAAATGGCATGTTAATGATTTTGTGTTAAAGTTACATGGGACCCAGCTGGTGCAAGGACACTCACACCCTCCTGAGTCCTCCTGAAAGCACGAAATAAATCTTTTGTATGAAAAGTACCCCTATGCACTAAGGAAGAAAAAGGTGATGTTATCACCAGAGATAGGAATTTTAAAGCCAAGAAAACTATCGGAACAAAACTTG